TTACCACAAACACTAAGAAAATTTCAATGAAATATCATAAAGTGCAACTTAACATTAGGTGCAGGATGTGTAGCAAATGGAAATGAACAAGAAAGGAGAAGCTGACAGTGCTTTTCTGTACTAGGAGTAGGTGATTCCTGCTGATAGGACTTCACTGGCCCAAACACTGAAAACATCTTTATGAGAAATAATGTGGCATTTTGCACGGTAGTACTAAGTCTGAAAATTTTATGCAATTACAGGGTTTTGTTTTTGTAAAACAAATAATCTAGCTTTGTTTCAAAAGTTGCTTTATTTTCCTTTACTAATTGCCCATCAAATGATTAATGGCTTCTCAAATTTTACTGTACTCCGCTCTCAAGAAGTAAATGACTTATAAAATATTTTAATCTATGCTTTAGTGACGGTGTTTTAACCCTAGAAACATTCATTATTCAGATATTTATTGAGTATGCACTGCATGAACATTACTTTCCATTATTTTCTGAGGCCTACAAAGGTGTTCTCCTAATTCCACAGAGCTGAGGCTAACTATGGTCTAGGTGGTCATTTTGTAACATGACTCATCACCTCCTAGTACTTTCCTAGTAAGTTTATATTTTCTGTATCAGGATAGTTCATGTCGTAATATGACATCGGGAAAACCAGGTGGTGCTCTGCACACTCTCTTCTGGTTGACCAGCCTTTTTAGTTGTCTCCAGGACATGGCGCTGTAACAGATCTTTCAGACATCAAATCAGGAGAGTCCTAGGCAAAATAGGATGGTTGTCCATGCTACACACACTTCTCTGACTCCCTAAGCAGTACAGAGGGGAACACCCATGTCCCAAAAGCAGAGAACAGGTAGAGTTATCCCCTCCAGGAATTAAGAAAGCAACAACCAACAGTTGGGCATTTTATGGTTTACATAGGGCCTTTCCAGATGCCCTGATTCAGTCTTCCAGATAGCACAACAAAACAGATGTTCTTGGCATACTCATTTTTTCAATTAAATTAAAGGAGACTGAAATAGGTTGATTCGTCTTAAATTCTGTGGCCATTAAAACATGGGCTCAATGCTCTGGTTTCTCTTCAGATTGTGTAAATCTTTCACCCTTTACAATATGGGCTCAAGCACACATTTTTGGACTTCGCTCTGATCACATTGCCTCCCCACTGCCCACCTTTTCTTATCTTTTAAAAATTATTGAACACAAAGTTAAGGCTGCCAGCCTTCCTCAGCAGCTCTAATCTTGAACCTCTGGGAGCTGGCCCCACAGCGTTAGTAACCACTCCTGGGCAAGAAGCCACTGACTTCCTGAGTGTGTTGATTGCAGACTGCACCTGAGGAACGCAAACACTGGGACAATCTCCGTGGCCTTCAGTGGCAGCTGGGTCCCGGAGTAATTGCTGGTCCAGTCAGTGGAATACCATGCAGTCAGAAGCCCATTATTTGCTCAGAGTTCTTAAACTGGCCGCAAAACCATTATATCCAAATTGATTGAGACTTTTTTTTAAGGAAAGAAAAGGATGATTACTTTTCAGAACAGTGTTCCCTTTGCCAGGGAGAGAGCTCCTGGAGAAAGTAGTTTGGGGAGCTGTTCGGCCATAGGTCTGGGTCTCTCTGTGTCTTCTGCACCCTTCAAGGTGCGCTGGAGACTGATCTTGCAATGGAACTTTCTGTAGCACTCAAAGGATGAGATATGGATGAGAAAGAAAAATGTCTTAGGCAAAAATGTGGAGATGTGAGTGCATACGATGTGTGGACCAACTGCGGGAAGAAAGCACATCACAGATTCAGTAAAGTTGGTTCTTCTATGAAGCAGACACTGTACTCAGTATCAGGGGTGTTGTAAGGGAAGCAGACATCCCAGTCCTGTCCTTGGGGGCTCATGTTGTTGTGGAAAGCCTGAAGTTCCAGGGAATAAGAGTAAGTCTGTTTGAATATCCAGGTATGTTTCCAAGTACATATGTTTATTATGTGTTTCTAAGTATAAGTAACTGTAGGTGTACACACATATATCTCTAGATATATATGGAAATATAGTTGTAACTGCATACGGTGGGTTGAGGTATGGAGGATTTAAAACGTCAACTTGTAGGAGACAGGCATCCATTTGGGACTTTTAAGCAAAGAAGTAATAGATTTAAAAAGACTTGGAAGGTCAATGTGCTGTCTATGGAAAGGACAGAGTGACAGAGGAGAGAGTAGAAATTGGGAGACAAAAATTATGGACTTATCCTTTCACTCAGTATCTATCATTAACTCAGTCGATTTTCTTAAGAAATCTATGATGTGCAAGCCATGTGACTGAGGGGTGGAAATAGGCCCAGCACTGCCCTCTGGGGCCATAAACGACGAGCACCTTGGTGCATGAACTGAATTATTTCTATGATTCTGGTTGTGAACCAAATTGGATGACAACTGGATTAAATTCAGTGGTTAGTTTCCATGTTGAAATTTGATTCAGTTCTTGTCCAGTTTGGTTTGTGACCACAATCATGGGGAGAATTAAGTTTGTGAACCGAGGTATCACTGTATTGTAGCATGGGTGATCCGCAGTAGGTCCCAGCAGCTTGGGATGTGTGCCCTGAAGCACGCAATCGGGAGGGGCATCAGCCTACATTAGAGTGGAGGCTCGGGCGGACAAAGGGGCCAGCCATGCAGAGCAGGCGCACGGTGTGTGCACATCCCCAGAGAGGCTGGGGGAGGGCTCAGCTGTGTGGTGAAAAGCCAGGAAGGATCTAGAAGCTGTCAGGTCCCACTGGCGCTGGGAAGAATTCGGGCCTTTTCCTGAGCAGCATTAGAAGCTGTGGGAGCACTTATGGTGTGATGGATTTGGTGCCTGAGGGTTGGTGCCCAGGCTGATGTTGGCAAAAGATCAGAGAGGTGAGGCTGGAAGTGGGGAGACTAGTTAAGAGGGTGTTGTGACTGGATTCCATGCCATGCTTGGCTGGAGCTCAGGAGGTGAGAAACCAGGAGTGGGTGGCACCCGTGGGCACAAGGAAGACCAGCCCAGGACGTGTGGGTAGAACAGGAAGAGGGCTCTGCTGAGGGGTGGGACAGCTGATCCTCCACGCCACATTTTCTAGGTTTAGTGACCGCAGACACATCAGCCTTCCCACTGCAAGTGCGTAACAGCTATTTCCTTCGCTCTGTCCCTGCATTCACAGTGCTTAGGGGTCTCAGAATCAAGAGCAATCACACCAGCTGATCTTGTTCTACATGACCTTGCCAAAACGGAGCTCTTGTAATCTCCACTCCCCAGGTAAAGAATCTGGAGCTCAGCAAGTTAATAACTTCCCCAGATTGCACAGCATACTCATGGCACAATCTTAGTCAAGGCATGGATAGATGTCACTCAAAGCCGTCACTCTTAAACTGTGCTCCAGCTTCTCTCCACCCCTCCCCCGCCCAGGGTTCCAGAATAGTCTCAACACCCTTCCAACCATGGCCTGAGACTGGGCAGGGGTAACACTTGGCTTTGCTGGAGGCGTCAGTCCGGGCCTGTGCCCCATCCTGTGCTTTTCCCTGCCCTGTATGTAGGGGCTTTACAGTCTGCCCTCTAGTGGCCAGTGCCTTCCTTGTTCTTCTGAGCTTTGAGGAAGTTGGAGTTCCCACATAAAAGAAGGCATGCATATTTATAGCATCACACCCTATAAACAGGAAACATCTCAGTCTTAGAGAAGGAGCCCAGTAACATAAACAGCATATTGCCATCGAGTTACTGCACCTATTCAACAAACACTTAATTTTGAAATATATATACATATACACGTACACACATCGGAATGTCAGCTCCCTGAGACAGGGATTTCTTTTGTCTGAATTCTCTGTACTGTTCGCTAATGAATCTCAAGAACCTGTATTAGTGGAATTTGCATAACAAAAATGCGATAAATATCTATTAAATACGGAGTAAGTGAACACCTATTTCCACGTGTGCCGTATACTAAGCCCTTGATAGGCACACTTTCTCTTTTAATCTAGCAGTGACTCAAGAGATATAGACTATCAGAACACCCATTCCTAACTTGTGGAAACTGAGTCACAGAGAGGATGAAAATGTTGCCATATATAGCAGGAACTTTATAGACCCAGTCTTTATCTACTGTCCATAATAGTATCTTCTGTGTACATCTGCTGTGTGCCAGATATTGTGTGTGGCATCACCAGTATTTAGGCAAAAGGTAGAAGTATCTTCTCTCGAGGGGACCATCAGGCCTTTTTTTCACCCATGTTCTGACTTTATGGAGTGGAAGGTTCCCTTTCCACAGTGCTGTGAAGAGATCGTCAGTGGAAGGAATGTCACTAGCTAAGGTGATACACAGGGGGCCTGAACATCAGTTTCATCATTGTTTAAAGGAAGGAACTGAGTTAGGATCGCTGCGTTGCCTTCCAACTTCAACATTCTACTGCTCCTGTGACTCCCAGGGAGCTGGATGTGAGTGGAAGAGAGGACCACTTGTTACTAGGCAACCAGCACCCACCTCACCCATGTTGCCATGGTGATGGTGAAAGTTGGGCTGATGGGATTACCAGCTCCTGCTAATTGCATATGAGCGCTCAAGGTCTGTCTCTTGCTTGCTTGCTCACTGGCTCTGACTTTCTCGTTCTTCTGGGAACTGTGGAGAGTTATCCTCCTCTTCTCCATCTCTAGACTGCCCTAGGCAGCCCTGCTGTAATGGAAAGCAGCTGGAAATGGAGCCTGGCTATGCTTTTGAGTAGCTGTGTGACCTTGGGCAGCTTACCCAGCTTCTCTGGGCCTCCATTTCCTCATTTGCAAAATAAAGATGTTGGACTAGTGATGCCTGTCTAAGGTTCTTCGTGGATCTCAAATCCTTTGATGCCTAGGGAGCATGTCAGGGGAACAGACCACACTGTTACTAGGCAACCAGCAGGCACCCTGCCCAAGTTGCCTTGGTGACTGGATGCTGGAGGGGAGGGGGAATAGCTGCTGCAGCTAATTGCTTAATTATTTATGAGTGCCTCAAGTCCTTTTTGTTGTTTTCGTTGCTAGGGGCTGTGGGGTCACCTTCTCTTCCTCTTTCCTGCCACCCCAAGTCGTCTGCCTTGTGTGTCATGCGGTGGGAGAGCGCCTTGGCCTGGACCTCAAGCCACCCACGTTCTAATCCTGCCTTTGTCATTTCCTAGAGCTGTGGCCTCAGGTAAGTCACCTTACCTCTCTGGCCTCAGTTCCTCATTTGTAGCCTTAGGTTTGCTTAGATGATCTCCAAGTTTGCTTTCTACCCGAAAATCTTAATTTCTGCCATCCAGTTGTAGAATGGGGAAGGTGAGGGAAATTTCCTAATTTGTTTTCATCTAAAAATAATTCTGAGGAGCAGTAAGAATAATTAAAGTCTCTTAGACATGTTAACAGGAAGGCACTGATTCCCCCCTTGCCTCCTTTCTTAACCATGTTACCTGATCTCTTTTATTGACCTTAATGTCATTTAGATTTTATTTATATAACACCAACTTCCCACATCAATTAGAGGGCTTTGCAATATAAGATGCATATATGCAGTTAGACCATTAAAATAGAAATAATAAACATAAAATGACATTCTTCATTGGTTAATGTCTGGGTTGTGATTGAGCAACAGATGTAATTTTGAGCACCCTGGAAGTCAAAGCAAAAACAGAAGGAGGCATATAATTGCTATTCAATAAAGAACTGACTCTACTCCTAAATTCTGAAAGGAATTTATCATGGGTATATACTTCCTTTTATAGAAACTATAGGCAAAGTTTTAAAAAATGGTTCTTTTTTACCATATTAAGGAAGAATCCAAATTTGACAACATGACTACTTTCAGAATCATTAGAAAGCAAAACTTCTTGTCCACAAATTTTATGTAGAATTTTATACAGATAAATGTCAGTAAACAAATTTTCAGAATCAATAAACCAGTTACATATATATTCATAAACTACTTTGCAGAGCAACTTGGCACTATATCTCAACTTTTTATAAATGCAGCCAGCAATTCTTCTCCAAACTTATTTTGAGATAAGCTTGTACAGATGAGGAAAGGCGTAAATATAAAAATGCCCTTGGAGGCATTATTTATAGAAGAAAATGGCTAGAAATTACATTAATGTTGAGGGCCAGTGAATGAAATTATAATACTTCTTTACAATGACTTACTCTGTAACCCTGAAGACAAAGTAGCTCTATATGTTTTAATATGGCAAATCTTCAAACACGTAATGTTAAATAAGAAGGTACAGCATTTGGTAGTAAATGATTTCTGTTATAAAAAGGTATAGATATAAATCTAGACACATGCTTGTGTGTGCAAAATTGCATTTTTCTGGAAGGAAGCTGTTAACAGTGGTTTCCTCTGGGCCAGAAGATTGGTAAGTATTTGGGAGGGAGGGAGACCTTCTATCATGGCTTATTTTCACCATCTGGATCTGTTAGTTTTCCATGTAGAGTCACAAGACCCTGGCAGTTGCATGCCCAGAGTCTGCACTCGGAACACCTGTGTTCACATCCCACCTCTACCATTTACTAGCTGTGTGGCCTTGAGGTTAACTTCACTGCTCCTCCTCTGTATTAGGTGAATAGCTTCCTTACTGTATTGTTGTAAAGGTTAGACAAGTTAATAGGGTAAAGTGCTCGGGACAACCTAAACAATGCATCTATGTTGATTGCAAGTTATGCAACAAACATCTATGTTGACTGCAAGTTATGTTTGAAGCAGGGACTGCAAAACACAAGCCTTGCTTGTTTACTTTTGGGGAGCGGGTCTACCCTGGATTCATGACAGCCTGTCACATGCTGGGCAGCCCCTCGATTCATCTTGATCTCTAGCTCCGCTTCTAGCCCGTCCCAGTGGCTGCTCACACCACGGGAACATATTCAAGCCAGATAAACACCCACATCCTCAGCTGTTAAAGGCCAAAGCAGGACTGTCCAGAAATTCAGTTTTAAAGAGGGTGTCCAAGACCACACTGACCATGATATGTTTGCCCACATATCTCACACCTCTGCTTTTCTTTGCAAGAGAGTAACAGAGCCCTGGGGAAGGGCTGTGCTAGGAGGGCTGCCCACAGTGACCTCTGGGGTGTTCAGCCTGGCCAGAATCTTTGTGGCTCGTGCTCAGAACTATGGCTTTCTTCACCTTCTGTGCCTAGGCTGTGGGGCAAGCCTGGAGGGGCTCTGGCTGACTCCGAGACACCAGAGGGGGCTCTGATCCCTTCAATCAGCCAAGCTAGGAAACTTGCTCTGCCTTGAGGAATGCCAGGTTGCCGCGCTGCAACCTTGTATCCTAAGTCACGTCTTCTGTCTGTCCCGCCTCTCGGGCACAGGCATCTCTATCCATTTGGCCATTCGTTCCCCTCACCACCTGTCTGTCGCCTCCAACTGTGTTTCCATCTGCCCTTGCAGCCCTCCAGCCCTCCTTCCCTCCTCCAACCATCTGCCTGCCTTCCCACCCATGCTTCCGACTGCTGGCCTGTCCACGCATCCCTCCTTCCTCCGCGCCGTGGACTCCGAGCTCTGTCCACTGAGCGTCGCGCGGACCTCCCTAGCCGCAGGGCCAGCCCCGAGCGATTCTCTGTCCCTCTCACCCCCCGGCTCGCCGGTGCGCCGGGACTCCCCGCCCTTGCCCCCGGGGGCCTTTGTTGGGCGGCGCTGCCCTCCAGCGCCCGGGACCGGGC